GTATATGTTACCCAAGTTATTATGTAATAGTCAGATTTATAAACTTAACTGCAATCTAAGCAATATACAACATTTAAGTTAAAAGAATCTTACATATTTAATTAGATTCACAAATAGTTCTCGTTATTATGTATAAAATACAATTATTGCATGCAAGAGCTAGATTTAACAACTAAACATATGTAGTACACTTAATGAAATTTCAGAAAATTGCACACATTTCCTTCTATTCATAAGCCGATTCAGTCACTGTGAATAATAACCTGCCATTTTAAATAAAAACTAATCAATCAACTTAATATTATTTATATATACCATATGCAATCTCAAAAACATATTTGTTCTTTATTGCTAAAATGAAATATTGAAATATTTTTGGAAAGAGAAATAATGCATTCATACGGAATTAGTGCAATAGTTGTCATTGAAAAGTCCAATAATAAAATATTCCTGAGTAAATCTGACATAAAATATATTTCAAACAAATCTCCAATATTCGCTCGAAAAAGAGTAACTTGCACACTTGGAGTTATAACACTTTCTTTAAAGATTTTTTCAGCAATACTATGGTGAGTGGAATTTCTGAATGTTATAGTGCCATTTACTTTAATATCTTGCCTTTGACTGATGATATCTTTAAAGTCTAAACTCTGAAGATAATTTTCACTAACACTCTTGTTGTTAAACTAAACAAGATACTGAAATAATTTTTAAAAAATCCTTCATACAGAATTTATGAAAACTGTTAGTGGTGCAATAATTGTCATTGTAAAGCCCAATATTTAAATATTATTGAGTTTTTTAAGCAAATCTGGCACAAAATGTATTCCAAACAGATCTCCAATATTCGCACAAAGAAGAGTAACTTGCACACTTGGAGTTATAACACATTCTTGAAAGATTTTTTCAGCAATACTATGGTGAGTGGAATTCTTGATATATATTGTTAAAGCAAACGATAATAGTGCCATTTACTTTAATATCTTGTCTTTGACTGATGATATCTTTGAAGTCTGAAGATGAATTTTCACGAAATACTCTAATTGTTAAAGCAAACAAGTACTGATGCATTTTTCTAAACAAAAAATGCATTCATACAGGATTTGTGAAAACTGTTAGTGGTGCAATAATTGTCATTGAAAAGTCCAATATTAAGATATTATTGAGCTTTTTAAACAAATCTGACACAAAATGTATTCCGAACAAATCTCCGATATTCGCACGAAGAAGAGTAATTTGCACTGTAGTTCTAGAGATAATCGACCAAGTCTGAAAATTCCCTTAATTTTTTGCACCAGTGAATTTTAATTTTTTAAGTTTGATATTCCTCACTCGGGACCCAAAGTAACAGTAATGCAAGACAATAAAAGTGTTCAAATAGAATTTATCTATCTTATTTGGCATTATTGCACGTGAAAGTTGATAAATTAATTTTCACTTCTATTGTTACAGCACACAATATAGATGGTGAGATATATTATAGATAGTGAGAGCATCAGAATAACATATAACAACCAAAACGTAATTTAAAATGAGTTAAAATGCATCATAAAAATGGTTTTACATCAAGGCTTGCTCCAACTGCTTCTGCCAAATCAGTTTTATTGATCACAAGTAGATCACTCTCTGTAATGCCAGGTCCACCTTTACGAGGAATTTTATCGCCACCTTTAATTTGAAGTAAAAAAAACTACATAATATATTCAATCGAGAGATCAAATTTCATTTAAATTAACGTTACAAAAGAACTACTATGCTATTCACTGATAACTTCTAAAACATAAAAAATCAAATAATTTAAGTTTAATAAGTTCAAGAAATTTAAAAGAAATTAACAAGTTAGAATGTTGTAAATTAACAAACTCGAGATTAAAAAAATTGAAGAAGTTTACCTCCATTTTTAGAATACAATTTAATTTAATAAAGAAACCATTTATCTAAGAAATTGAGGTTCATTTAAATTAAAATAAAACAAATACTGCAGGGCTAAGCACATAAACCTTCTGCAACTGATAAGCTTAAAGGGGAGGGGAGGAAATTCGAAATTAAAACATTAACGTAACAATAGTAGCATAATATAAAAATAAAAATTCCTACCTGCTACATCGATGACATAAATAATATAATCAGCCAAATCTCTGCTGAAATTTGCCGCCAGGTTGTCACCTCCTGACTCTAAGAATACTAACTCTGGTTTATATGCTCTTGTTAAATCTTTTACAACTTCCAAATTTAAGGAATAATCCTGAAAAATAATTCATAACGTAAATTAACCAACGGAATGGCAACAATATTAATACAAGTACTTTTTGCAAATTTTCGTATTTCTTTGCATTAGTTTCAGAATAGAAGTCTCCAATGCATTTGATATCCAAAACAATATTAGATAACCTTTTGATTGGAAAATACGTTTAGCTTATGTCAACTAATAAAGGAAGGCTTGAATTTATGAAGAGGACGAATCATATTAATTAAATATTTTTTATTTTTAAATTCTATTCACTTATTCACTTCATGAGGACATATCATAAAAAAATCCAACAAATAGAAATAAATTAAACTATTGCTAATTTAATTATAATTGATATTAATACAAAATATTAATACAAGATGATAAATTATAATTGATTATAATTGATATTAATACAAGATGGAAATAACCACTTTATTTAGCACTTTGAGAAAATTTTCTTATTTCCTTGCATAAGTCTCAGAATAGAAATCTCCAATTTATTTGATACCCAACAATATCCGATATCCTTTGATTGAAAATAAGTTTAATTTTCATCAACTAACAAAAGAACGTTTGAATTTATGAAAAAAAAACAATTTATATAAATTCTGAAAATTAAATTAATTTAATTTTTAGAATTTGTTTACTTACCTCACGAATAGCTGCATGAGGACAACCACCCGTTTCTACCGCTTTTATTCGGTCCTCTGGTAAAGCTTTATTTTTAACTAAAAATTCCCAATCTTCCCTAAAATAATAAAGATAATGATTAAAAATTTATCTGAGAAATAAACTAAGCATGTAATCAAAGCAATTAAGTATTTACTAAAAAAAAAATTTCTCAATTAAACTACTCTCAATAATAATTTTAGAATTTGCTGTAATATGACAAGTACTAAAGTGCTCTCTAAAGATGAAATAATTGAATCTTGTTCATAAACGAACAATGAAAATATCTTGTCGATATTTTAGAATGTTAAAAAGTTATCTGTCTTTAAGATGCATTGATAAAGTTTTACGGAAAGGTGCTAGGTGAACAACGTGTATTAAACAAAGATGTAGAAGACCGGAGGAAAAAGGTAAAGTACCAAGATATAATATCCTTACAATTTATAAGCTAATCTTGACTGCACTTTTAAACAAGAGAGAGTACTAGTTCTTATTTAAAGTTCTAAAAAAAAGAAAGTGATTTCAAGTTAAAACTTTTAATGTTTTAGAACGATGGATCTACAAATTTAAATTTTCAGCTATTAGCTCATGGCTGGTAGAGTCTTATAACCTTGTAGCCACTTTTTTCTCCAAGCAAATGAGTCGGTGATCAATATTGATATGTCCTTTTCATTTAACAGCCATTTTTTCTGCAATTTTGTTGCCTTATTTTTTTTAATTAAATTTAATTTAATCAAAAAAATTCATATTAAAAATAATCTATAGCTAATAAAAAGTTAATTCAACAATAAAAATAATATAAATATCTGACAAAATTTATTTAAACATACTGACTTTAAAGAACTGTGTTTAAAAATATTGGAGGAGGCAAAATAATTTCAACTTTGCGAAATATGCGAATTGTTAAAGAATTCTTCTTTCACATGAATCGTTCCATCAAAAATTGATGGATTCTGAAAAATCAAACACAAAAACATACTTTCTCTGAATAAAAATTCCTTTTTTCCCCCTGTTTTGGATTTCTGACTCTCAAAGTATTAGGGGTGGCTGCAATATGGGAAATATGGTCCCCATAGTTTGGTCAGAAGAGCAATCCAAAATCAAGAGTTTTTTAAGAAAATTGAAACTTTTTTGCACAGTTATAAAATTCGTGTATCCAAAGATCATTCCATGCGAAAAATAAATTTCAGTAATGATTTATTATTTTATTTATAATAGTCGAAAAAATTAAATTGTAAGGAATATAATTTTTTACATTATTTTAAAATGCGTAAATTTAAATAGCAAAATACAAAATCTGAACGAAATCGATCGAATAGTTCCTGAGAAATCAAATTTTAAAGAAGTTGTATATTAAATACGTGTAACGTATAAAGTACATGCATATTTTACATCTATCACTATTTTATCCTCTGCATTCTTATTTAGATCACCACTGCTGAGCGTGAAGTAATTATTTGCTGGGTGGATACAATAAGTGTGTATAAAAGGGAGGAAGCAGAGATGGGCATTTGTCATTCAGAATAATGAATAAAGAATGATGAATAATTATTCAAAATCTGAATAATGAATGATGAATAAAGATTTATTCATTAGTCAGAAATATTTTGAATAAAGAATAAATCATTCATTATTCGTTATTCAGTATCCTTTATTCATTAGTCAAGAATAACTGAATAATTTCACTGGTCAACAAAAATGGGCACGGAATACTCTAATTGACTACGATTATGACAACTACAAATAAAACGTTAATCCTTTTCAAGTATATTTATATAATGTTTGAGAAAATTTACTTTTGTCTAACATAATGCATACTTTTGAGAAATGGTTACATGGCAAAAAAGCGTTTAATTTTTTAAGTTAAAATTTTATTTAAAAATTTAAAATAATATTATCGTTTGCTTTCAAAAACTATAAAAAATTGCGTTTTATAGATTTTAGAACAAAATTTCAAAATGAACTTAAGTAACTAAACTGTTATAAACCTACTTTTTAGCACAACTAAGTATGTTACGCTGGAGTAAGTTAAAATAACATAAAAATAAATAGTCATACTTGTCTTAGTTTTATAGTTTAATTCCTAAAATAAGACGTTTAAGAGCAAACGATGTTTTGCATCTCGTTATAGACAAAGACATATCGATTGCATTTTTTGCTGGTTATTCAAATTTTATTCAGAAAAATTAGTCATGACTAATGAGTTTATTCATCAATCATTATTCAAAAATTTTTATACATTTGCATAATGAATGATGAATAATGACTAAATTTTCATATGAATAATCATTCAGAATAAATTTATTCTGAATAAATTTAGTCATGAATGAAATTTTCGTGAATGATGCCCATCACTGGGAGGAAGTAAGAAGTGAAACTAAAAAGACAAAAATACTAAAAACACAATCAATACAAAAAAAAGTTTACGTTTACCTTGTAAAAATATCATTTGTTACAATGCATAGATTGTGTTTTTCTCTCAAGTATTTACATAAGGCTAACACTAAAGCTGTTTTGCCTGAGCCAACAGGACCTCCAATGCCGACTGTGAATGATCTCTGCAAAAAGAACAAAAAATAAAATTCTGTTACCAAATCAAATGTAAATGACATTTAAAGAATGAGATTCTACTCAACAACCTTGGTAATAAATAATTTGACAAAATTTTTATATTTTTAGAAGATTCCAGAAGAATGTTGGAAGTGTTTTATTCACTAGAAATATTTTAGTTGTTTTGCTAAAAATCACCAAGAAACATCTGAAATTCGACAAAAAATACATAATTTTCAGATTATTTTTACTGTGTTTAAAATTCTATTTTTAGATCTATATTAATACTGACAATTACTGACATGACAATATTGGTAATTAAAAATTTCCATTAATATTATTTTTAATGAAGAACAACACATTTTTGATGAAAACATAGCATGTATAACTTAAGCAATAAATTATTGGTTAGAAATCTCAGTTACATAAAATTTAAGAAAGAAAAAAAGAGGCAATAGAAAAGTCGCAAAAAATCAAGACAAAGATTTTGTGAGATTTTGACAAAAAAGTGAAAAGTTTTGTATGGGTGTGATTTTTTTTCCATTTATGTTTTTATTTTTATGTTTTAGTAAAAATTATTTTGTTATTATAATTTATAATGGTTTGGAAATTTCGAAATTATTTTTTGACTTCTGTTGTAAGGCAATTACTAGGACTCAGACTTATGTTTCTTATTCTAGAGGAGAGGTTGAAATTTCTAAATTTTTGAGTCCCTCCCCACCTTTTTTTTTTTTTTTTTTTTTTTTTTTTGTTGATAAAACCATTTCTGATACAAAACACACGCAATAGTATAAAATATTTTCGACAAGCATTATTTTATTTCCGATATGCATTTTTTTTTAAGAAAAGTATCTATTCTTTTAAATAATTTAGAAGAGTTTAATGACTTAGAAGAAAATCACTTTAGAATCAGACTTTGTGTAGAAGACTGTCTTAATTGCCACTTTTTACTTTTTTGAGATAGTCAACAACACCTGATGGGAACTTTTAAGCCATATGTTTTAAAATTGTGGACCGTCACCAATTATTATTCTTTTTAAAAAATGCAATTTTTTTTTTTTGCCTTACAGCTCACAATTTAATAGACTTATAAAATTGAAATTGCGGAGGGAGAAGTGCAGAGAAATGCATAAGGATTACATAGAATAAAAAAAAATTCAGACTCGATTATTAATTCGAGAATTATCATATGTTAAACTTGCTGCAAAAACTGCTATTAGAGTTGATCTTATATTTCACCTTGCCACACAAAATCTATAAGACTAATAGAAACTTGAAATTTCAAAGATTTGTAGAAAAATGTACAGGGAGTAAGACGGAAAAAAAATTAATCGTAGTCTTCATTCGTGACAATCAGTTCACGAATTATTATCTGCACAACTTGTATGAAAAAAATAACCCGTTTCGTAGATCTATAGCCCGCTGAAATACAACAACGGAAGTAAGATTCGATACTCTCAAAATATTATGAACTTAACGCAAATTTTCTTTCGAAATTCCAATTTTTTTGAAAATTATTCTTAATTTAAGTGCTTTTTCGTGATTTTTTCCGGTTTTTTTTCCTTTAACTATTTTCTATTTATCCCTAATTGTTGAAAGCATGTTTTTCCCACACGATATCTTAATTTCTTTATTTTATAAGTTCACGCTTAGATGGTCAATCAGAAGTAGTAAAAAAGGGAGAGAGCTTGTATGTTGTGAAATATGAATCTTAAATTTGTAGTGAAATTTAAAAAAAAAAAAATCTATTTTTAGGGGAGGAAAAACGATTAAATGTGCGAGGCAACCACGGGGGTTTATCAGCGGAGCCTTCTAGTTGTTAAAAAATATCATAGATATTTATCAAAAATGCCATGGATAGTAATTACTTTGTCGAAGTCCTTTCTTGATAAAGGCAGATCACGTGAAGAATATGCACCAGGAGTTGTCATGTGTTCGTGAGTATGTCCGTGCTCATGAGTATGCCCATGGGACGAACTATCCTTCGTAGTCTTCACTAAAAATAAATTATAAGCAAAAAAATAATGATATATTCAAAACAAATCAGGCAAAGTTTTTAAAAGCATTCTTATCTATTTCATATTCTAGTTCTTTGTTAATTCCACCAAAATATGAGAAAAACTTCATTTAGGCAGACACATGGTATTTGTATTTACTACATGGGCTATATTAAGATTAACTTTCAAATTTTGCACAACTTATTAAGTACTGCTGTAAATTTTTATTTAAATATCATTTGTTACCCTAAAAGTTTTTGATATAACCAATTTTATTTGTTACAAATTTGAATTCCAAAATTAGAAAATAATTCCATAAAATCTATTATTTATTAAAAAAAAGTTTGAAAATATTGTCGACTTTCTCTCATTAGCAATTATAGTTTACTTCTTTGTATGAAAGTTATGCCATTTTAAATCTAAAAAATGTCGAAAAAAAGTGCAAATAAATGATCTTTTGTTTGCATTCTTTTATTTAACATCTTATAACTCTACAACAAATAAACAACTTCAAATTACGTCCTAACACTTCATAGAGTACCCAAGATTAAACAGTAAATTGAAAACAGTTGAAAATTGAGTGTAATGTAGTTTGCGGTCAGTAGAGTCAATACTTTCATTAAAACATTGAGAGGAGAAAATTTTGCATTGTTCATTTTATTTACAAGTCTGAATAATTTTTTTCGCACTTTCTTCTACCGTCGTTCTTAAAAGTTTTAATTTTTTTTAATTCTATTCTTTTTAGATTTTCTTTCGGTATTGCAGAAAATATAATTCAAACAAAATTAAGATTTAAACTTCTTTAGTCACGCCTGACACATAATCTACAAAAACAAATGCTGACCTAATTTAGAGGCATGTAAAATATTCTTAAATTTTTAGAAAGTCTATAAAAATTTGCTCGACTTTGTAAAAATTAGAAGCTAATCAAAATATTAGATGCGTTTATTTGATTTATTTATGATTTCGATTTATTTATGATTTTGCTATATCCGAAAGAAAAAAAAAAACGATCTCTTATATACACTTAAAATGAAATCTACAACTAGCAACAAAAAAAATTATAACTTTGCACTATATACTATATACTAGTCGAAATATTACATTATAATTACATCATTACATAACAACGAATATTATCAACTCATAAATACTTCAAAGATCATAACTCTTCACAAATCTTTTGCTGAGAAAATGTTACTGGGACAGATCAGATATATTTATAGAAAAATCAATCAATGGTGATTGATTTTTAAGAAAAAACCGACGAATTCTTTCGATAATGACACTTTGGCCTAAATCCAATTTCTTGATGTTAAAGTTCAAACATTCTTTTTATATACACATTATTCTTCTAAAAAATAAGGATTCGCGCAATTGGTCTGAGAAGTTTCTTCAGTTAAAATGCACATACCAATTCATAAAAAAAATCTACATAACTAGGATTGGTATGAATTAAATCAAGATTAAAAAAATAATAAATAAATAAAAAAGAACATGATCACTTGATCTTTTTAAAAAGAAAAACAATAATGTTGTAAATCAGCTTTTTTTAATAAAAGATCATTGATTTAAACCAAGCGATTTTTTAAAAAGAGTTAATTTCAATTCGAAGTATTTTATAGTTTAAAGTATTTTATTTAGTTTAAAGTTTTTCTTTTGTTTAAAGTAAGTAAGAAAACTGACGAATTCTTTTGATAATGACACTTTTTCATAAATCCAATTTTTTGATTTTAAAGTTTAAACATTCTTTTTACATATACATTATTCGTCTGAAAAAGAAGGATTCGTGCAATTTGTCCGAGAAGTTTCTTCAGCAAAAATGCACATACCAATTCAAAAAAAAAAAAAAAATCTGCATAACTGGGATTGGTATGAATTAAATCAAGATAAAAAAAAATTTAATTAAAAAAAACATGATCACTTGATCTTTTTAAAAAGGAAAACAATAATGTTGTAAATCAACTTCAATTTTTTTTAATAAAAAATCATTGATTTAAACCAATCAATTTTTTAAAAATTCAATTTAATTTCAATTTAAAGTATTTTATATTTTGAAGTATTTTATTTCGTTTGAAGTTTTTTTTTTCTTTTTTTGTTAAAATTAAGAAAACTGACGAATTCTTTTGATAATGACACTTTTCCATAAATCCAATTTCTTGATTTTAAAGTTTAAACATTCTTTATATTTATCTATGTCATTCGCCTAAAACATAAGGAATCGCGCAAATAGTCAGAGAAGTTTCTTTAGTTAAAGTGCAGACACCAATTCTAAAAATAAAAATAAAAAAATAATAAAATTATTATCTATATAACTAGGAACGGTATAAATTAAATCAAGATAAAAAAAAAATAAAAAAAAATAAAGATCACTTGATTCAAAAAAAAAAAAAAAAAAAAAAAANAAAAAAAAAAAAAAAAAAAAAAAAAAAAAAAAAAAAAAAAAAAAAAAAAAAAAAAACAATTATGATTTAAGTCAGCTTTGAATTTTTTAATAAAAAAATCATGGATTTAAACCAAGTGATTTTTTTAAAAAGGATTAATTTTAGTTTAAAGTATTTTCTGCAATGAAATTGATAAATTTATTCTTCAGGATCTGAATATTTAATTTTTAAAAAAATCTGTTTTCATTGATAATGTAGAGTTTATACAAGAAAAATAATAAGAAGGTAATGTATGCAAATGATTATATTTCAAAATAAAATAAAAGAAATAAAAAAAGAGGCAAAAAGTGGATAAGAGTGTCATGAAACTTTTAAATTAAAATTTTCCATTAGTTTTATACAAAATAACTTTCTAGTAATGAATATATTACAATGATACCTCTTAGTTTTATTCTAATTAAAATACGAGTATATATGAATACTTATTAAACATATAGTTAGTGTATATCAATAATGGAGAAAGACTTTTTCTGTCCAGCGTAATTAAAAATAGGGGATAAATGTTCTTTTCAGTAATGTTTTTTGATCTAAATCAATTTATTCTCTAATTATATTATGAACAAAACGTCTTCTGTCTTTAAAATTTACTAGAATGTTGAGCTTGAATGAAAGTAACTATAATTTTTTGTCCTTAGTGATTAGTTTGTAGTAACTAAATAAGTATAAACTTTTTTTTGTAAAGATATTAACTAATTTGGTTATTAGTCTTTCTAAAATAATTAGATTAATTATTTTTAATGTTTTTTATCAAAAGATTTGATTGGTGTATGCAAAACAAGGAAAAATCTGATTTAAATTTTCAAAAAAATCCAGTTTAAATAAAATAAGTCCGATTTTTTCTTTCCTTATTTTTTTTAATCGTGATTTTTACTAACCTTGATTACAAATGAAATATTATTTTACAAATTTTACAAAAATAAAAAAAATAAAAGTTCTTCAAACATAAATACACATTGCTATAATTTTTAAATTTCAATGCTATTTAAACACAAATTAATGAAATTAAGAGTAAAACTTTTATAAAAAATTATTATTAATTCTAGTGTAAATAGTTATTTACATAATTTTGCAACAAAAATTTAAGTAACACGAAACGCTAGAAATTCTGAATTTAAAATGAGAAAAAAAAATTTTTATGAAAACCATTATCAACTTTCGATCAAATGATTATTGAAACTATTTAATCTTATTAAAAGATAACAACTCATGGAAACGCCATCCTTGTAATCCATGCAAAAATCCAACGAAAGCTGTTAAATAAACTTAATATAAATTAATAAGATGCCTATTTAAATTATCTAGCCTTTGAAAGCATATATATATATATACAAACATTCTTT